GACAACAGGTAACAGGGAGCTAACATTTTATTTACAAATACCTGTGCTTCAAGAACAAGTCAGAAAATGATATGCTACTCCGAATATTTTGATTTCAATTTTCAATCAATTTTTTATTTGCAAATAGTTAGTGTATAAACGTAGTAATAGATGAGGGATAAACTGTTGATTGCAACCTGCTGCTTTTCTTCTCTAATACCAAACACAGACCAAGTTTGTTTTACTTTTTTGATATCTGCGTGTCAAGTTAAAGAACACCTATTTTAAGTATTGCCCGATTTGAAATGAAGCACCTCAGCTCTTTGCCTGAAACCAAACTTCCCTAATGAAAGTCGGGCTACACAGTGTGAGCAGAGTACAGAAATTCTTAATTATTATCAATTAATATTAATTTTTACTTCATTTTCCAAAAAATCAAATTTTATACATATAAGCTTTTGCATGTAATATATTTTTAAAAAATATTTTTAAAATCTGTTTTAATTACAGTTCAGAAATGCCGCAATGTAATCTAGTTTTCTCATTGGCCCGCCCAAGTGCCAAAATGATAAATGTCTTCTAATAGACGCGCTTATTCCTTAATGATTAATAAAGCAATTTTCAAGTTCAAATCCAACATAAAGCGCATGAAGAGGTCGGGACAAGACGCTAACTGCGAAAATGAAAACACAAAACACTCAAAAAGCGGCGGCGACGCGCTCAAAATACCACTCGAGTGAAAACTCAAGAGCTCGTAAATTTCGTCTGTGCTGCAAAAGTAAACGCCCATAAACAAAGCAATTTGCCCAGTGCCGCAGAATCAGTTTCTCAATGAAAGCCACGTGTAGCCATAAATTTGGTTGTGCTCTGAACCAGTTCTCGGCGCGCTCCTCTAACAGGTTTCTCATTAGTCCAGTGCTGGAAAACGACGGCTGTGACTTGGCTGCTAAATGTAGCGACATCTGCACAAAATTATGCCACGGTTGCAGGAAAACGCAAAATATTTTGCTTGTATTTTGGCAGTTTTTGAATTGCTAGCGGTTTTGTGACGCTTCCCAACACGAAAAATGGGCGGAGACTGATTGGCCACCTCGCTCACACTAGTGCTGTTGCCCAGTTGAATTGCTTCCCTTTCTGTCTACCATTAACAACAACACAAGCATATGTTTGACACAGAAACAGCTGCTCTCTTTCTCTCTCTTGCTCTCAAAGAGAGTGCGCAGTGCCCATGCTGTATGTGTGTGCGTGTGTGCAGCAAGCAGAAGATGAAGATGCCAGCAATAAACCATTCCCGGCAGCTATAAAGCATTGCGAGCGAGAGAGTGCCATGCCGGCCAAGCGTGTGAGAGCGAGACGCAGCACGCGAGCTGAGAGAGGCAGCGACATCGTAAATTTGTGCGCGTGTGCGTGATTTATATCGCACTACTGCTGCTCTGCCGCTCTGCCGCTGCGCCGCAGCGTCGCAGCCATCATGGCCGGGCAGAGCGCGGACTGCGACTGCGCTCGTAATTCTCCCGCTTAATGGTTTGTTTACATCATAAATAAATATGGCTGAGCTGCGAGAGCCGAGTCTGCGTGGTAGAGCAACGCACAGTTTTGGCGCGCGTTCTTCGCTCAGACACGTTGTTCCCAAACTCGCAGCAGTGACGTCAGAGGCCATAAAATGAGCCAATACACACGAGATCATAAACGAGCACGAGAAGCGACAATTACAAATGATATTGACAGCAAGTCTTGCCATAATATTAATGTGGATGGAAAACTATTTAAGAATGTCATTCCTCAAAAAGGTAAACATTATTTGTGAATTTACATAAACAACCAGAGACAAGAATACGAATGGTTTTAATTTGTTGCCGCCGTGATTTGTTAGACATTAACAAGAATAAACTCTAATTATTTTAATGAATTACTTTAAGGTGCGCAAATGTCAACAATAAAATGAAACTACAAGTTAAACTTTTGAAAGTTAGATTAATTTAGTTTTACCAATTTCTGTCCTGTTGTTCATTAATATTTTGTTCACTAACATAGATTCTTGAATTTAAAAATATTTGATATTTTAGATACAATTAACTTGTCCTTAAATTTTGACCCAAGACCAAATTTAAGCTTCTAACAATTATAATTCGTTTTTCGCATCATTCAATAACTACATTTTAGTATTCGGCTAAATTAGTTTCTTTCCCCATCGACGGTTGCAGTAGTCAAAATAATTAAAAAAATTTCAAAAGATAGCTTGAAGAAAAAAAAAAATAATATAAAAAAAATAATAATATTTCCTTTTTATATTATATACAAATGCGAATTATGTGTAAATTTGAAAACAAGCTCTGTATTGTGTTTAGAAAAGCATTGTGTGGGCCATCCAAAAGTTAGTTTATTTATCGATAAATGAGCGTTACAGTTCTTAAAATGTATACATACCTATACATTCAATTCAATTTAAATGTGAAGAAACTTGGAGGGCTTTGTCCAATTTACTTATATAGTTAATTACAACTAAAGGGCTACCTTAAATATTTGAAAACAAATCTATAAGCCCGTGACACCATTGTATTACTCATGTACAGGTTCATTTTGTATCTAACTTGCGTGTCATTTGCCGACGGGCCTTCAACCGGCGGCGTCTGTGCGTGCAACATGATGAGGCACTATATATTAACCAATTGAATGAATGGTGGGTAGGGGGTTGGGGGTTGGGGAGGTGGGTCATGGCCGTAGATGTTTGCTCATCTGAGGTGGCACAACCACTTGTGGCGCCTTACTAATTTCACTGCCCGAAAAATGGCACGCTCGATGGTCACACAATTACGGATGTAATAAAGTAATTTGCCGTAATTGCAATTGAGCCGAGGGGCGGCAGCTGCGACGCCCGTCCGCCAAGAAGCTGCCACATCGCAAAAGTTTGTCTCTGATTAAGCCCCCCACCCGCGTGCCGAGTCCTCGCAGTCGCAACAGCCGCCACAAACACACCCCTTTCAATGGTAGAGGGCTTCGGTCTTTGTTTCAAAGTTCGAGCAGAGTTCGAGCTGCCACCGGCTCTCCTTTGGCCGTTTGATAATGTGTGACAATGTCTTGGGCACTTGCCGTGCACAGAGGGAGATTTTAATTTAGCCAGGATTTACCTGAGCAACTGGCAAGCGGAAAGTGAGAACAAGAACTCTGTTTGCCGACTTTGTTCTAATTTTGCATAGAAAACTACTTAATTATTACGCCCAACCCGCCAGCTTGGGCCTGAGAGTGCTGTGTGTGTCCGTGTCCGTTTTATCCTTTCAGCAGGCTTTGAGTTATGATGTCTTTATGACGCTTTTGTCTGCCCAGGCACAGGCAGTCGTCCCATCCCTTGCCCAATTCCAATCCTTTTGTGTGGTGTTCCCGGGTAATGAGCAAGTTAATTCTTATTATTATGGTTATTATGTGTTTAGCCAGAGTGCGGACTATCCGGCCAAGTGTTATTTGCCACTACTCACTCTTATGCGTCTGCGTGGGCGAAGTAGTCATAAACATGGCCCATCCTCAACAAGTGTTGAGCAATCGAAGCAAATAAACATGGAGCACATAAAATGAGCCTATAAAAACAAATAGTGGGGCATGTGGCTGCCAAGTGTCGACCCCCTTTGGATAAACAAACGCCGCCTTCGAGCGCCCCTCAACACATATCGTGTGGCACCTCACAGACTTCGCCAGAACTGGCCCATGGTAGCTGCCCCCGGGAGCCACTGGGTCTCCGGGCACCGTGTTATGGCCATGTACATTGAAGCAGGCTGGTAGCTTGGGCATGCTGCGAATATTTCCACTTTTGTTTTTGTTTTTCATGATTTTCAAACGCTAAACAAATAAACAAATTCAGCGATAAGCAATATTTGATGCTTTTCACGCTTTTCACTTTCAAGCCTCACTAAAATCGTGTTTGGTTATTTGTTTTGAAAATAGCTGCTACATTTTTTAAATACATGAACTCTCTGGAAGCACTTAGGGGATAATCAAACCAAGCAATGTTAATCTTATTTAAATTAGGTTCTTGGAAATGGATTGGACTCTAACGAAATGTGTTGTTTAGACCGAATCATTTTTGAAAGGAACAAATCAATTTGTTTACCTAAGAGAGAGCTTGATTGATCTTCATGCAGTTAACGTTATTTGTTTAAGTGTGCAGTTATTTATAAATAATATCGAAATTTAAGGAAGTTTTTAAAGACAAGCCTCAAACTAAAAGGGTTATATCTATCTATCTGTTTACAAGAGAAAAAACAGATTGAGCGCTTTCAGAAATTATTTTGATGTGTCTTTACCGGCTCCATCTTTAAATACCGATTAAGGATTCCTTTGCTTTTACCCCACATCATCAGCAATTTGTAATGGTTACTCTCCCTAATTCCCAAGCCCAAGCGGAGGACGGCCCTTGAGCCAATGTAATAATTATAAATCAATATGCATTCAATAATGGGCTCTTACAATTATTATCTGTAAATGTAAACGAAACACACTTCAAGCAACAACAACAATTGAATTGATAGCACACTCCGAAAAAAAAATTCAAATAATTTTCAAGTGTTGCCAACTTAATTAAGTCACACAATTTATGAGCTCCTTCTGGCTGGCATTGGTGTTGCCAACGCCGTAGCATGCCCCAGTGGCACGACGATTATGGGCGGGCGCACGCACACACACGCACACACGCTTGGATACTTTCAATATCAAATACAAATAAGCGCGGGAGCAAAAGCAACTCAATTGACACGCGTCGACCCGCGCCACTTACGAAACGAAACATTCATGTGGATATCGACAGCCCTGGGCGCCCCAACAGCTACTCCGAACTCCGTAAATGAAGCCGTTCACATTTTTGGGCCCCGGCTCGAGAGCATTCATTGAATCTGAATCTGAATGTGAGTTGGAAACGAGGAAGCAGCGCCAAATGACGACAACGTCACGACGATCGATTTTAACGATTTGTTTTGATATTTTTACGATTATGGGGCATCGTTTGCACAACATAAATAGAACATAAAACTCCCATCACATTGGCGGGTTGAGTTCCAGTTTCAATACCCGCCGACAATACCGACGGGGCTCCGTTGCTAGGCAAGCTGCGAGTGTTGCGCCGGAGGGGCTCTGTTCAATTCAATTAATAATAAATTAGCTGCAAGTGGCGGCGCGAAGAAATCTCAATGAATATTTACATTTAACGATGTATGAATTGCACTTTGGTGGCTTTATTGCATTGACTTTTAATTGCCCACCGCGGCGCCGGATGCATGAAGCACTTCAAGGAGCATTACGCAACTGCCTGGCTTCACTTCGTCCTGCTGCTTCGAGTTCCTTTTGCATCATCGTAAATCACAGGCGCCGCATGCATATGAGTCGAAAAAGAAATATGCCAAAAATTGCATTTAAGCGTAATTTTTTGTAAATATTTTTGGTGTTCTGTCCTTGTTGTTTTATGATGCGCTCGTCCTGCGTCCGCCCGCATATATGCAAACTACGCACTCTACGGGAATTTTTCAAGTCCTCCGCTTTTGCCTGCCTCGTACTCAGCCCGGCGACATATCTGGAGCAAAAACATAATTTCGGTTCATTTTTTGTTGTATGCCTGGCGAATATTTTGTCTGCTTGTATGATTTATGGCATACGGCACAGGATGCTTAGACAGCGGCAAGTGTGGCATGCAACACAGCACATGAGACACACTCGCAATGTGGCAAGGAAATGAATATTTGAATCAATACGTCAGAGCATATGTTGCCAGTACCTTTTTCGTCTATTGAGTATTCACTGAGGTTAATGAAATAGGAATTTAATTGTTGTTTAGATTAGTGAAAACACTTTATGATTATTAGAATAGAACTATCAAAGGCTTTGAAAGGCTGTAGACTATTTTCTATAGAAAACAAGGCCTACTACGACTCATCTCAGCAACCGTGCATAAAGATAAAAATTATTAAACATTTCAAACATTGCTCTTTTAAGATATTTTCATATTTTTTATTGGGCCAAGATGTCGGCACTTAAATTCCTTTATGCTGTTCAAGAATTCGAGCCGTTTTCATCAGATGCATGAAAATGCGTGTGGGTTTTAACAAATAAGACAAAAGTCACGTGCGGAGTGCCGAGTTTTGTGCATTTGTCATATTAAAATAGAATATGGATGCTCTAGCTCCGCTTGGCAGAATCTCCTGGCTCCCCTCGTCAGCAGACGGCCATATGCCAGCAGCCGAAACAAAATGGCTTCTGTCAGCTGCTTGGCATCCGCATGTGGATGCAGCCGCCACTCGCACGTCTGTGAATCCGACTACGAATTCAAGTTCTGAGTGCTGCTGTTGATAGATACGCAGGCAACCCAATTTTCTCACAGGCCGTCGCTGTGGCGTGTCCTTTGGCAGAAGGAACTGTTTGCCTAAGCCTCAGATGTTGCTGCTGCCATTTTGAGCTGCGTTTTCGGCTGGCGTAGCAGCGTTCAATTGTGCACGCCTCTGCCCCCTCGCTTCGTTAGTGCCACAAGCGGCTGCAGTTGCTGATAAGCCTGAATCGAGCACAAATCGATTGCCCCAGCGCTGCGTGTGCAACATGATAAATGTGCGTGTTATCCTCCTTTATAGCAGTTGTCAGTTGCAAATGAATGCCAACAACAACAACAATTGCCGATACACATGCGCCACGTCTCGTTAGTGCCAGTCCCAATGCCAGACCCAAATCCCACTCAAATGGAACGGACGCTCGTTTCTGTGCCGTAAGCGACTCGTGTGGGGCTTCAAGATAACGCTCCATGTCAAACGAATCTAGCTTTGGAGAATTGATAAGAAGTTTCCCAAAGTATGATGTACTTGAATTATCTTAAATTGACAGAAAATGAATTGTATAAAGGCAGGAGTATTTTCAAGTACTAATTGGTTAATGTACAATTTAAAGTAACCAATTACAGTGACAACTCTTTTAACGAATCTATTGGGCGTACATTTTTTCTTTTAAACCAATTCGAATCAGGCCGTAGCCATTCCCGCTCAGACGGATACTCCTCTTGCGTGGACAAACATTAACCGACGACAAGCGAGTTTTCACTGTACGATTATACATGTTATTTGAATAGTTTTATTCCATAAAGTATTCCTTACATTACTAACGCTCTTTTAATATAATATACATACCCTTCTTTGGGGTTTGAACTAGAATCCCAGTTTTTAATTTATTCATATTTAATTTAATTTTTGACGGCGTTTGATGATGCCGATATTTTGTTGTTGCATTTTGCTGATAGTGATCGAGTAATTTGTAATTTTTAATCACAACCGATGTCAAAAAGCTTTACAACAATGGAAAGCCAACAGAAAGACAGCACCGATTAAATCCCATACACATTATAAAAAATGCATTAGTTTAGAAAATAATCAATTTGTTATAAGAACAATTTTTTATATTTACAAGCAATTGCAATCCATTTAAATAAATAGAAAAATACGTAGTATAGAGTTGGAAAAAAACAAAAATTTTATTATATAAGATAAACCAGTCTTCGAAATAGTGTGACGAACACAAGTTGAGGAAATAAAGAACGCGTTGTATAATTGACTGAAATGTCTCTTTTATCGTGAATACATTTAAATTTTCCCCACAATGGAACCTGAAAAAAATGTTCGACACATTATACCATGTTAATAATTCAATGAAATATCAACTGTCAAGTGGGATGCTATGAACACAAGTTCTCCGATTTCCCCAAAAGCTGTGCCTACATATCCTCAACGGGCTCATAGATGATATAGCTGGTGTGGCCTTCTTTCTCACCGGGTGCAATACGCTCCAGCGTGGCGACCAGCAGTTCGTTGACATTAAGCTCACGGAGCAGATCCATCATCATGACATAGGAGATGCGCAGCATGGGTGTGCCCTCCCTGCGCCACTTCTCGATCATCTCGTGATTGGCAGCAAGCTCCTCGTCGCTGCTGAAAATGTGATAGTTGATTCGGCAACCCCTATAGCCGCGTACCTTCACCTCGTGCACGGGCTTGGCCTCCGTCCTCCGCTGGCGTTTAGCCTTCGGCTCACTTTCATCATCATCGGTAGTTTCAACGGCGTCCAGGTCAGTGTCGCTGGTGCAGTCGCTGCTGCTCTCGCTGCTGCTGCTGTCGCTGTCCTCGTTGGAGTCGTCATCGGTATCCTTCAAGCTGCCGCTGACGTTCAGATCCTCAATTAACGATAGCTTGGAGCGCAGCAGATGTAGTTGGCTGGTGTCCACCAGGAGCAGCATGTAGTGCAGTTGTCCGTCCGGCCGCACTGTCTTTAGAAAGAGCCTGGTTTTCTCCTCGCTGATGGGCACTGCATCGTGCAACAGGTGCAGCATAAGCTGAGAGACAGTTAGCTGGCCAAAAAGCTGTTCCAGGCGTCCCTCTGGCAGCTCAACTTCACCCTGACCCCGAGGCGCCACCCAGAGCGTATCTACATATAGCTGTGTGGCCACCTTCTCGCCCAGCGACTCGCCCACCAGCTGCAAACAGCGACCGCAATGAATGTGCTGTCCACACTGAATGACACGTTTTCCCAGAATCTTGGGACTTATCACAATATAGTTGAGAGCATAATATAATTCGCCCTCAACCAGAGATGTGGGCTTCTTGTCGCTGGGACAAAAGTACTTTAGTGGCTCCATGGTGTAGACGGGCATTGGACGGATGCAGTTGTAGCGGCGCACGGGCACCAATTCGTTGTAGCAATTGCTGCAGTGTAGACCACAAGCCATGGATTCGTTTAGGAGCAGATGCAGATCCTCAATGGAAACATCAACGGTTTGCTGGTCCAGGGCCGCATCGTTAATATGGACTAGACTGAGCTTCAGGGCTGTTGCATTGTTCGTCTCCTTGTCAACTGTTATGCCCGCCTCTGGGTTTGTGTTGATCTCAAAGAACTTTCCCAGAGGCGTGAACTGCTCAAAGTCGCGCTCGATCCAGCGTATGCCATTTGCGCTCACATCAATGCGCCTGGTCTGTTGCCTAACCTTATCCTCGTCCGGGGAATTGAGCATCAGCACATTTATCCACTTACTGGTGCGCATCAGCGATATGACAATCAGTTCCAGTGGCATGATAATATCACAATGAACTTGCCAAATGTTCTGTCAGGTAATACACTTCTAACACTGAGCTTGACAGCTGGATTAACCAAAAGGCTGCTGGGATTGTCGGTTGTCTTGCAATGAGTTCAAGTGTAATTGGTCACTGCGATCTTGGAAGAACTTGCACAACGAAAGATATAGTTTATAGTTATATTCAGTTTAATTTTCCACTTTAAAGAAAACGCTGAACAATATTCAACACTTTTCAAAAGCTAAATGTCAGCAAGTGCTAAATAATTGAAACAGAGATCTGATTTTTACATTCTGCAAAGGTTCCTTAGTGATATATTCAAAAAATACTAGAAATACATGACGTTCTCAGTAAGGATCCGGAAAATTATGTTGTGCACCCGAAATCTGTAAAAATCAAAGAGATATATTCAATGTTATATTATAATGTCAGTCAATTACCATATGATTTTATATTCTTTTTTTTCTGTGACCTTTGGTTTGTATTTATATTAAATTTGTAAAATGGTATTAGCTAAATGGACATCATCAAACAAATAATATAATATACATGCGCATGCATGTTTATGCTGCAAATAGTAACAGCCAGAAAAATTTGTTCAAGAGCATGCAATAATCATCCGTGGCCCGGCTTGTAAGAGATCTGCAGTGATGACTCCTACGAAACGCTTTTTACCGTCATAAAGTCGCTCACACGGAAACAAAATAAATCGAGAGCGAAATGAATGGTCTCAAAAGGATGAATGGCCAAATTGAAGGCAAGGCAAGCAAAAAACAAGACAACAACAATATCAACAACAGCTGCAGCAGCAAGCTGGCAAGTTACGAAAAGCAAAAATATTGAAACGAAAAATACAACTGACAAAATTTTATTTCGTTTTATTTGCAAAGCGGAGCACTCCATAAATTTTCGGGCGCTCAATATTGTTTCAGATCATAAATCATGGCTGCATTTGCGTACGGACGTACATTTCAAACACACACACATACACACACACACGAACATTTGAACATACAGCTGCATTCGTATGGGAGACGGTTTGGGCTGTGGAAACTCGGGAACTCCGTCTGCATCTGCAATGGCACAGACACCGACAAAATGTACCTTGTATCTGACATTGGGCTGCAGATGCACTGCAAAAAAAAGAAGGAAAAAAAACAAGCAAGAGGCCAACAGCAACAACTACAACAATAGCAACATGCACTCATAGTGCATTTGTATAAAGTCAGTGCCGCTGCACTTGTGCCCTGGCGCATTCGTATTCGCATCCGCATCCCATCGAGGGCCACGAGCCGCAGCCCTTTTATCCACTGAAAAAGCACATCCACGGCTTTGCGTTGGCGGGCGAATAGCATGCAAATGCAAAATGAAGGCAGCTCACCATTCAGGGGGGTTGGTATGGGTAGGGTCGTAGGGGGGAGGGGGGTGTATAGGCTGGAAAATTGAAGTGGTCTGCAAATTCACATTAACGCAAATTCCGTAAGTGAAGTATGTTGCATTTCCCGCACGTAAATTTAAAAAGCGCGGCGCAATAACAAAACATTTACTCACAGTGCTTCTCGCTTATGTACAGTTAAAAATACAGATACAGATACAGATACAGATACAGATACAGATACAGATACAGATACAGATACAGATACAGATACAGATACAGATACAGATACAGATACAGATACAGATACAGATACAGATACAGATACAGATACAGATACAGATACAGATACAGATACAGATACAGATACAGATACAGATACAGATACAGATACAGATACAGATACAGATACAGATA